CGGTCGTCAGGCATGTTGATCAATTGGATGCTGATCCGACCTCGACTCTTAGAGGAAAAACACATGGATTGTGAATATGGATTTTGATCATTCTCTTCTCTAATAACATTCACAAAATTAACATTTCTAGCTTCCCTCAAGCAGAGTTCACGGGTCACATCATGCATTTGACAACTCTCCAATTTTTCATCAAAACTCAAGTTGTGAATTGAAATTAAACTTCTGTCTATAAGATCATTTAGGCATTTTTCTGCCACTTGTTCAACACTTTTTGTCTCTTCTGCCTTCAAAAATCCTTCTACAACCCATAACTCCATAAGTTTATCGACAAAAATCACTTCATCTTCTGGGAAGATTGCAAAATATAGGAAACACGGCTTTAGGTGTTGAGGCAAGTGATGATAACTCAATGCCAACACTTGCATGCATTGAACATCAACATCTGTGCTTACCACTGAACTTACGTTCTCGGCAACACTTTGCCACTCACCCAATGATTTACCTATTTTGGAGAGAACTCCAGCAATCACAGTAATTGCTAGAGGTAATCCTCCGCATTTCAATGCAATTTGTTTCCCAATTTCTTTAAATTCATGAGAAACACATGATTCTTTATCAAAGACCTTTGTGTGCAGTAAATTCCAACTTCTTTTAAAATCCAAAAGGCTCATTTGATAAGGAGTAGTGTTACCTGAGCTAGCATATTTAGCCACATCCATATTTCGAGTTGTCATGAGTATTCGGCTTCCATTGTTACAATCTGGGAAACATAATTGTATATCATCCCAAGTTTCCCTAGTCCATATGTCATCAATGACTACCAAGTATCTTCTGCCTTTTAGAAGCTTTTGCAATTGTTCTGCTAGTTCCCCATCATCTTGTTGCTCATAAAATTCATGACTACTCATTCCACTTACAGAAGAAAGAAGACCTAGGAGTACATATTCCCTACAATACTCTTGTGAAACAGTTACGTTTCCACGAATGTCAAAGTGAGACATAATGAATGGATCACTATAGATTTTGTTAGCCAAAGTTGTCTTGCCAATGCCACCCATACCGACAATCGAGACAACTTTTAGTTCCCTTCCTCCTCTTGTAAGTCTCCCCTGCATCATCTCGAATTCATTTTCATCACCAACCATATTCATGTTCTCATCAGGCTCTAATAAGGCATGTTGAGATGACGATGTATTGGCAATAATATTATCTTTGTTTTTTGTCATGTACATGTTCTTCTCAGCAATGATCATCCACTTGTTCATCGCGGAATCAATGCGTTCTACTTGTTGTTTCAAGAGTAATTCAAGTCGCGTAATTCCATCTTTTCTTGATTCTGCATCAACCATATCCTCTGAGCTATGATTTCAGCTTCCAGTCTAGTTAATTCCTCAAGATGATCCCCTGAAGTTCTGTGGGATGATTTCTCCAGATTAGCTCTCAAAGATTCAAGCTTTTCGTAGAACGATTGCAAATCATATCCAGTAACTTCCATGGATTGTTGTACAGTGTTCATAAGGCAAGTAATAGCAGCATAAGCCATATGTACCTCAGTATGATCAAAATAGAGAGTTTCTGTAAAGAGAGACCAAGACACAAGTTGTATGATAGAAGGTGGAATGTATATAATTGCCACAACTTATTATATAGGGATAATACATATATTTGATCTTAAACTTGGCTTCAAATTTTAACTTTGACCTCCAACTTTCATAGTGCACAAACAAGCACTTTAACTATCCAACCTTTTAATAAATAAACACGCGATTTTTGGAGCCAAGAGCGTGAAATGCAAACGCTGCCACGTGTATTAGTGAGCCACTCAATGGCTGCCAACTAATTAAACACTTTACACGTCCATTTTAGAACTAAAAAAAAATAAAATTAAACAAGGGTAGAGTTGTCATTTCAGCATTTTTTTCACTGTTGTGTGCCTCAAAAATTACTTCTCACTCGCGCAAAATGCGTGCACATCACGCGTTTTGCCAGGTAAGACACGCGTGTTTATTTATTAAAAGGTTGGATAGTTAAAGTGTCTATTTGTGCACTTTGAAAGTTGGAGGTCAAAGTTAAAATTTGAAGCCAAGTTTAAGGTCCAATATATGTATTATGCCTATTATATACTTCCTCTCATTTCATTTTATGTGATACCGTTTGACTTGACACGATCTTTTATAAAAAAATAAATTTAAATTTATGATCTGAAACAACCCTTACATATTTGTGTGATTAAAAATAATGTGACATTTTTTTTTGGAACGGACTAAAAATGAAAGGATATCATATAAAATGGAATGGAGGGAGCACTTATTTCTTGAGACAATGTTGGTCTACAGTCTGCCCTAGTCTCTATCAACCAGCTGGAAGTCCAACTGCTCCTTTCTTTTCAATTTATTTGTATTTTTTTACATCGCATAGAGTCTAAACATGCAATTATTGTACCAAAAAAAAAACAATATTTCACATACAATTAGGGGTCGTTTGGTAGAGTGTATAAGAATAATGTTGAATATGATGTATTAGTAATGCATGCATTAGTAATGCAAGCATTAGTAATGCTTGCATTATTTCTTATACATTGTTTGGTTTGATGTATTGGAAATAGCAAGCCTTGTATAAAGACTATTAAAAAATATTTGTTTACAAAAATACCCCCACATTATTATTATTATAATTAATATTATTATAATTATTATTATTATTATTATTAGGCTTAGAGGGTAGTTTTGTCATTAGTTAATCTAATGCATGCATTAAAACCATTGCATTGCTAATACCTAGAAATCCATGGTATTAGCAATACACACCTTAATACACAATAGAGTGTATAACTAATGCAAGTATTAGTTATACATAGGTTGGAAAAGAGTACCAAACAAGGTACTAGTAATACACAATGTTAATGCATGCGTTATTTTTTCTAATACACTCTACCAAACGACCCCTTATTGTATCTGCCGACACAGGGATAGGCAGCACAAGACTACTACTTTTTTTTTTCTCTTTTCCTACTTTTAATATTGCATCTTGCAAAAAGACGGATCTGGCTCCTCTTCACCTGGGGCGGCTCTAATAACTTAGTGGCAATTTGAGCTCATATTATTGAGATGAGTCTATTTTATCCATCTTTAATGACTTGGATCACTCATATTTTAGTGGAAAAATTATGCGGTTAAGTAAACTTATACTACTTAATTACTCATCATAGTCATAGTTTGCTATAGTTACCATTCGCGACCAGGGGCGGCTCTAATAACTCGGTGGCCTAAAGACAAATTCGAATGGAGGCCTTAAATTCAAATATGTATTTTTTATGAAGTTTATTATAGCAAATTATTTAATCTTTCTTGAGACATAGTAATTTGTCGAACTTCTATTACTTCTTTGCTCTTTTATGAAAAGTTTTATTTCTACAAGCAATACTCGATATGTTTTTTTTAAAAAAAATACTTATAACCTATTTTTTTTTTTAAAAATGAGGCCCCTCAAATTTTGGGGCCCAAGGCAATTGCTTTTTTTCCAAAGCGGTAGAGCCGCCCCTGCTCGCAACTAACATTATACATTAATTACGTGGGTGACTTCGAGTTTGTATAATTAGTCACGTTTATATAATTCACCACAATTGTATAATTTGCAACTAACAATTCTTCATTTGATTTGTATTTGTATACGATGGTTTGTATTTGTATATGACGATGATTTTATTTGGTTTTTTAGTTTTGTCGTCACCATATACATTCAATCTTTTTGTGTATAACTTTTTAAAGTTTGTATAAACATGTAGTTTTTGGATTTTGTATAATATAATTTATATAATGTAATTTGTATAATATATTTTGTAAAATTGTTTATGTTTGTATCAATTCGTTATTTTAAGTTTTATCATATTTGGATAATTCCAGACTTTATATTACTCAATTATACAAAACACACGTGAATTATACAAACGTACCTGCGAATTATACAAATTATTGCCCTCCTCGCTCGCCTCTCTCCTCCCTCTCCCAATCTCACTCGCCAAATATACAAATACATATGTAAATATACAATTATCTAACTGATATATATATACGATTTACCTCTTTGTCACTCTTTGCCCTCTCTCGCTCGTCTCTCTCCTCACTCTCCTAGTCTCGCTTGCCACTCTCCTCCCTATAACATGTAACTACGAATCATAATTAGCAAAATATAGCTATGAAGCGTAATTACTAATTAGGCTATTTTTGAGTGGTTATATACGAAAGTTGCTCTATTTTAATTGGGTAATTATGGACTTCAAACTATTTTAAGAGCCCCTACAAATATGATCAAAATGAGTAAAATATGGGTATCCATATAAACCCATAATAGATTACTTACTTTTCACTTCAACTCAAAATTCTTAATTGTGCTAAAAAATAAATAAACTTAATATTAATTTTTAATTTTCAAAAATATTAATTTATTTTTCAAAAAAATTGAAAGGTGGGTGTGTGGCAGGAATTTTTATTTTTTTAAAAGACATGATTTTTCTTTTTAGAAAAAGATACAATTTTTTGGGGGTGGATGGATGGAGGCAGAGATGGGGTGGTGGTGGCAGTTGCGGG